CATGGGATAGATCGTCAACCCTCCCTGTCAACTCTCGTCCCATATCGTCGACCCTCCCTGTCAACTCTCGTCCCATATCGTCGACCCTCCCTGTCAGATAGTCGACCTTCCCTGTCAGATCGTCGATCCTCCCTGTCAACTTTCGTCCCAGATCATTGATCCTCTCCGTCAAATCTCGTCGTAGCGCGCCGACCTTTTCCGCTATAAATCCAGTCAAACGGTCATACAAATCATCACTGTGCCTCGGAGACACACGGGAGAGGTGTCTGGATGGAGGTGATGCCAATGGCAGCAGCGATGGCCCCGGCGGAGGTGATGCCACTAGCGACGGTGATGCCCTCGACGGAGGTGATGCCAATGGCAGGGACGATACTCTCGGCGGAGGTGATGCCAATGGTGGCGGCGATGCCCTCGACGGAGGTGATCGTCGATCAGCTGGACCGCCCTCCTACATAAATAAAATGAAAAATTATTCAATAAATTTATACGTCGACGATATTCAATAAATTATATTTCATTCACATACCCAATTTCGGTTCAAGCTCGGATTAGACATCTCCTCGTTTGGGGTGCGCGGAACGCCTAAATCCCGCACAAGACCCTCAGCCTCCTCTTCCATCAACGACGTCAACTCAGGTATGACTTCAAGCTGATATATTGACATTTCAACTACTTAACGATCATGTAAACAAAATTTTAAACTACGTATAATATAAATCACAAATGCATAATACTTACCTGAGGATCGTCGAGGAGGGCCGATAACTGCTTCCCAGTGGGACATCCCTCCGCTCGCGATGATCTCCAATGATGCATCCGAGGGCAGCGTGTCTCCCCGCGCTGCGCAAAGCGGACCCCCAGTATAAGAACTGTCTCATACACCCAAATCTGTAACACATACACTTATTAAGCATCAATGTAATACACTAAAACTTTAACTTTGATTATATTAAATATTTACCTGTATCGCTAAGGGCAATCCATATGTATCGTATTTACGCATCGACCCCCTGGGCCTCGAGTGCGATCTTGTGAACACATGTACAGTGTCTTCGTAGCATCTTCGACCCCATGGATAGTTGTTGAACGCATCGATGTCATCAACAACTTGCAAATGAAAAATGTCGATGGCAGTTTTCTTGTGATGACACCTCATCACACTCTCGAGGATGTAGACAAGCCCAAGTTTCAATCTATCTAGCATATGGTCGCACCCCCTCATCGCAACCATCAAGTCGGGTAGAAACACCGACCCATGTCCCTGGAAGTACGTTTCGTACAGCCTATTGCTTCTCTCCATGGCTGCATCGTCGCCCGTAATTCTCAGTCCAGTGATCAATGTAAACTCAAACATCGAGAAACTGACGACCTTGCCCCCGAGGTCGAACTGGAGGGAATCGCCGTCAACTGGCCTCAGAAGCCGACATAGAAGTGCATCAATGATTTGTCCTGAATACTGCACCTCTCGCAACTGGTACAGTGGCCACAAGAAGGACTGTCGTAACATATCTCCGTGCTGATCATCGAGCAGCTCCAACACAGTAGTAAAACTCTCAAAGCTACTGTTCCAATTAGCTTTCCACGGCATCTGTCTCAACTCTGCATCTAAATGATACTCCATCTTGCAAAAATTCAAATGTTATAGCATTGAACAAGAGATAACAAAAGAAAGCATAATCTCACAAAATCAAGGGAACCGAATTCTAACTACCATACAATACGCATTAAAATAAATTAGTTATAAAGAAAATTAATCACAAATATTATATTTGGAAAATATATTTAAAAAAAATCAAATTAAATACATTTTCAAAAACATTAAAGAATATAAATATTATTTAAATAAATTCGAAACAAAATCAAAGATTTTCATAAAAGAACAATAAAAGGAACAAAACAAATTGTTAATTTCGAACAATATTATGTATTCAATTATTAAATTATATAAAAAAAAAGGAAATTATAAAAATTAAATAATTAAGTAAAATAATTATTATTTGGAAAATATAATTACAAACAAAAAATTTCAAATTAAATACATTTTCGAAAAATGTAAAGAATATTTATATTATTTAAATAAATTTGAGAAAATAAATTAAAGATTATTTCATAAAAAAAAAAGGAACAACACAAAATTGTTAATTTTAGAATATTTCAATTATTAAATTATATAAAAGACAAATATAAAAATTAAATAAATAATTACTTTACATTTTCAAAAAATGTAAAGACTATTTATATTATTTAAATAAATTTGAAAAAATAAATTAAAGATTATTTCTTAAAAAAAAAAAGGGAACAACACAAAATTGTTAATTTTAGAATATTTTAATTATTAAATTATATAAAAGACAAATATAAAAATTAAATAAATAATTACTTTACATTTTCAAAAAATGTAAAGACTATTTATATTATTTAAATAAATTTGAAAAAATAAATTAAAGATTATTTCATAAAAAAAAAGGAACAACACAAAATTGTTAATTTTAGAATATTTCAATTATTCAATTATATAAAAGACAAATATAAAAATTAAATAAATAATTACTTTACCTTTCTTTAAAATGTAAAGACTATTCATATTATTTAAATAAATTTGAAAAAATAAATTAAAGATAATTTCATAAGAAAAAAAGAATCAACATTGTTAATTTTACAATATTTCAATTATTATATTATATTGACGATGATAAAAATTAAATAAATAAATAACATAATTACTATTTAATCAAATAAAAAATTTAATTAATTACAAAAATTATAAAAAACAAATAAAAATTAAATATTCAGTCTGGGCTGACTGTTAACAGTCGGGTAAACCGACTGTTAATGACTGGTTGCTGAAAATCGCCATTGCCGATGCTGTGAACTCCAAAAATTGCAAAAGATCCACATTTTTCACACTCTCAGCATACCCACAATCTAACTACTCATGCCCATGAATCTAATTAAACCGAATAATGTAAGGAAAATACTAATTTTACTTATTCAATAAATTTTCTACTGAAACAAAAAGTGATGAAAACTAACCGGTTATTTTATTTTCGGTGTAGATCAGGTCATTGACTACGACGTTGGTATAGTTGTCGGTGGTTGATCGGTCAAATTTCTGGCGACTGTTCGTCGGTCGGTTAGACAGAATTTTTCAAACAGTCTGAAGGGCAAAATCTCCTTTTACTGTGAAGTTTTTTTTTAAAACTTAATTTGTTTTTTTTTAAATTCATTTAATGAGTCAAAGGCCAATGTCAAATTTTACTACAGTGGAAGAGCCATTTTCGTGTATTTTCTTGCAAGGGCGTACATATATATAATATGAGAAAATACACAATCGTTCCCCAACTTTTAACCTTTTTATCAAGTTAGATTCCAATCCTTAAAGTTGAACATTTTAGTCCTCGTAATTTCAGCCATTGAAATGGCACCAAAAAAGCATGTAAAGTAATTTTTCCAATAAAATTAATAAATACACATAATTTTAATAAAAAACAATTATAAAGAAAAAAAATCTCTCCTTCGTCTCTACTTAATTCACATCCTAATTTTAACCCAACGCTAAAATTTAGATTCCTATTCTGATTTTCGTATGTGCCGTTACTATCGTACCCTCTACAATTCTCTCGATGGCAGGTGAACCTTGCTACATTTGCACTTTGATATATGTTTTGCCACGTGACATTACCCAATTGAACAGTTTAAATTTTAAACAAATTTTTCATCCCGTACAAGTGTCAACAAAAGTACATAAATTCCGTATACAAGTGGGAAAGTCCGTTGCAGATTTAGGAAAGGGTTCTGCTATCTGTACAGGCCCTGTTCATAGGACCTGTATAGGCCACACACAATACGGGGCGTGGGGTAATTTTTTTTTTTTTTAATAATCACCCACTCCCACCCCTCATGCTGGGTGAGGGGCCTGTATAGCCCTGTGAAATAGGGCCTGTACAGTAGGCATTTTTCTTTAGGAAAAGCATTCCCATTTCAACTTTTCATAGGTAAATTTCTTTTTATATAGGTTAAAAAAAATTGTGCACACACACACATATATATATATATATATATATATATATTTTATATATATTAGCTTGGCCTAAAAAATTTTAATCTGGTATTAGATCCGCTTCTTAGTCCAACTTGAAAACTAAAGCTCTTTCACACCATTCAATTGCATCGAATCGTCCCCCTTTCCACAAACCCAACACGCACACGCAGAGACTCGAACATGCATTCTAATCTAAAATGTCTAAAAATAAAAATATCATTTGCCTTGAATATCTAATCTTTACATCTGTCACTACTATCGACTTTGCATCTAGCATTATTTTTTCCACAGTATTTAGTTAGGAAGCTATTTACAAATCTCCTCACAACAAGAGGGTCCACAATTTTTTTATTTGTCATGGGCTCTCCCATTGTGAGGGGATCTGTAAACCAGAATGTCAACTTCGATGTACAAATAAATTTATCCATTTTTACTACTATAGGAGGGGTGACCTTTTCTTCTCCTGTTTATAATTTTTTATTTTTAATTAGAGATAAGAGGATAGTGGTCCTTTTAGCACAAAAAAAAAAGATATTTCAAAGGTGAATTGAACGGTTTTTGCCCATCGTGGTGATGATCAAAACACTCCATTTCAAAGGTTGGAAGCTAGCTTGCCATAGAAGTGATAAATTGAAGACCAATTACAGCATTGATAAAAGAGATAAATTGAAGACCAATTGAGGTGCTGATGAAAGTTGTAGAGCCCACTAGAATATGTGATTAAAAATGAACTTGCAAAAGAGGCAAACAAGAGATAACAATCACAGTTGAGAACAGAGTATCACCCAAACTTGTTTCATGTGTTTTTTAATTTCTCTTTTACGTGATCAGCCATAGTTTGCATGCAAATTTCTCTGTCAGCAGTAAAAGTTTACCAAACACGAAAGGAACATTTTCGGTTAATAAACACCAAGGCAATTATTTGCTGATTCATTCCTTGGTTTCAGCTTACAACCACTAACAGAACTTGTTTCAATTAATATTTTCAAAGATAACAAAATCACCAATAAAATAATCAAGTATATAGTTCGGCATACAATTCAGACTATGTTGTCAGAAAATATAAAAATGGTGACAAAATCTGGTCAGGCAGACCCGGTTCAGTGACATTATAAGATCTTCTAAATTGGCATGTGCGTGCAAACACATGCTCTCAGAGACTATAGTATCAAGGAAAAATCAAACTTTTGACGGTAAATTTTGATTTTCATTTCACTTAGAGGTACACATTGACACATTGGGATGTTATAGGAAATGTTGACAAGTCAATCTATGAGCATCCGAATTGAGTATACCGCTCAACGGAAGATCGAGAAGTGACTGCTTTGTCCTTATAAGAAAGAAAAAAATCATCAAAATTTTAGGGAAGCATGACCAGTTTCTCCGATATGCTTGTGTAGTTTATTCCTGTTGCAAGAAAATTGATGGAAAATACAACAAAAATGAAAATGGCATGGAAAAACTTAGCATAAGCAAAGAATACCTTGATTCAAATTCCTCCCCACACTTCTCACAGACATTGCCAGATACTTTCGCTGCCGCCTAAATCAAAAATGCAAGAAACCAGTAATGAAAATTAGAGATGAAAGATAGAAATGACTTTTAGCATGCTTGGCTAAGCTTAACAAATGAAAGAAGTTACATTACTTAAGGGAAATTTTTTGCCTCCAAACATGTTTGTACAACTTATTCTAAATTCAAAAGTTGTTTTTGCTAGACCTGCTATTGTTAAGAGTCTTTTTCTTTGTTACGGTTGCAGTCTAGGTTTTACTCATTATTTATAGTGGATTCGTACTTCTTTTCATTATTGAATAATACAGCCTTGTTTAGTTTACAGTTTTTTCTGAAATTAACCCGTACATTACTGTCAAAGTATCTTATGAATTTCCAAATTCAATCAATATGATAATTATTTATTTCAGAACTTACTTATTTTACTTATAAAATGGTCCCTTTAGACTGACAAATTATTTCCTAAACATTGTTACATTAATTCATAAGAGACTGGAACTAAGTTTCTTGTTGTTCGAAGAATTAACATATCTCCTTGGTAGAAAGTATCAACTAAAAGAAAATAAAAAATTATACAATAAAGCTGATGATGGTCCCAGGTCCAGTGATAAAAATTTGAAAGAAGTGTTTTGTCCCAGATATTCTCAAGTAAAATCAGTAGATTGTTGTTGTTCATGATTGAAGATTCTACATGATAGTAAAAGAAAAAACAAATTACAACTACATGGCTCCTATAAAGCACAACAAAATTTGAAAGACGTTAGTTGCTAAAATTTAGTAAAATAATAAGTTACACAAATTAACAGTAAAATACCTTATGTTTCCTCCCTTTTGGAGCAACCTTTGACTTGGACACATCAGACTTCTTTGTTGCATTTCTTTTGTTCACAGCTTGCTTTGGAAGATCATGATCCCTTTCTGATGCATTGTCTCCTTTGTCCTCATTTGCAGATTCTTTTACAGGATTCGATGTTGACTCTACATGGGAGTCATCATAACGTCCATTCTGTTCCTCAATCTCACCATTATCCTCTGTAACATCTGCTCTTATTGTTTCTTCTTCTTGAATATGGGTTGTCTCACCATTAGCCTCTGTAACATCAGCTCTTATTGTTTCTTCTTCTTGGGTTCTACCCTTCCGTCTCTTGCCTCCCTTGTTCCTACGAGAACCCTTTGTGTTGTTGTACTCCATGTAACCCGTCTCATCAACATCGACCTCCACCTGAATTTTCTTTTCAGGAGCCTTAGTCTGATGCCTTGCATCAACCTTCTTCCTAGTCTTATGTCCAGACACCATTGCTTCAAGTAGACTTGCTTCATCATCATCTGATTCCAACTCAGCATTGAATAGCCTTGATACACTGCCATTATCAATATCGACAATCCCACCTTCCTCGTTAGATTCAGCATTTTCCTCATTGCTCTCCAGCCCATGAATTCCAACACTATCCTCAAATTCGTTTCGTAAATCATTTACCCCATCATCTGCTGACAAATAACCCTCATCTTCTTTTTCCTCATTCTTCCTTTCATTCCCTTCTGTCACTTCAAATTCTGTGTCTTCCTCGCCAAAAGCTTCCCTCAATTCTGCCACCTTCTCCTTGTGCTTCTTAGACCGCTCATGGTTCTTCCACTGCTTATCACTCTTGAATTTTTTTCCACACGCTACACAATACAATTCCTTTTTCTTCGCATCCTCCTCTACTGCATCCTCACTCTCTTCACTCTCCAGCTCCTTGACCTTCGTCCACTCAGGCTCCTCAAAATTCCTTGCCTTCTCCACCTTCTGTCTCTCCAATTCTTTCTTTCTCCATCTTTCCTCCTCTCTCTTTCTCTCCATCTCTTCATTCCTTTTTGCCTGCATATCGATGACCCTCTTATCCCTCTTCCTCACGAACTCCGCCAATCCCCTTACTGTCTCATTGTACTCCCTCTTTGCCTTTTTCCTCAACTTCTTGTTCTCTTCCTCCATTACTCTTCTTGACTTCCTGTTTGGTCCTGCCATCACATCATACTGATCTACCCAACAAAAATCCATAGATGTTGCAAATCCTAACCAATAGTTATAAAATGCAGTCACCTGCATAAAAAACAGAAATTAAAAGATTAACTCCAACAGACATCTTCAAATGGAAGTTAAAACCCCTGGCTATGTGAGCTCCGTCATCGTAAATTGATAAAGAAATAAGGAATTTCAGTCATCAATAAAAGCTTCAAACGACAATACTGAAGTTTTCATTTTTCAGTATCATTCAATTATCTTATGCAGAAGAAAATAATTAAAATACTACAAAAAGAGAATTGAGAAATGCCATGACCTCAAAAACTAATAGAACATGAACAGATTGTCAGTTAAGTTAAAATTCCTTGAATCTTCCAAATTCAACTTGATCTCCAAAATTTGATTTAAATATCAATCAATAAGATTTGAAATAAGTTCAACAGTCCAAAAGTTACTAAATAAGCAGCTGGAGCTGTTTCACCCTCCACCAACCTGAACTTATCATGGCACCCTTATTGATTTACTACATTCCCTTATACTGCCTCTACATTAATTTCAACCTGAAACAGGTGTATATACACCCCACCTAAAAAGAAAAAAAGGAAAAATAAAACCACTTTGTTTTGGGCAGATTCATTCTGTGCCACTTTGTTTTCGAGTATAAATTAAAACATATAGAAATTTGTGTAGCTTAAAGAACAAATCTTGTTTCAGTGATGTGCTCGCAAGCTGCTTGGTTACATTGTTTGTTGTAAATGGAAGCAGTCTTCTTTCCCAATGATCGTGGTTATAAATGAAAGTATCTTCTTTCCAACTTTGCATTGTTCATTTTTCTCAAAACTAGGCCAACTACAGACTGACAGCTTTATTTTTCCTCTTCTTTATTCGACATATTTATCTACTCGTGTGTAGGGTGTACCATGCTTCAAATGTAAGATTCATATAAATAATCAAGACATACAAATAATAAAAAATCTCCTATGAAAAACAAAATTAATAAGTACTAAAATGCAGAATCTTAGCTACACAAGAATTGCTGCATACGGGTAGTTATGAAATGTAATGATATTCACAGGCAGAGACAAAGCTTGAAGTATTATTGAAATCACCGATTACAAGTAAGATCGGATAAATTTATCATTTATGAACACGCAACTCCACATACCATACAGCCTAGTATCTATAATGTCGCAAAATTTTAGAATATTTATCAACGTAAATGTGTACGACATACAAAATTAAAGGAGGGGAGCTTGAAAAATCATACCTGGGCATAGGGACTCTCCAAATTGCCGATGACGGGCGCTTCCTTGGGCATTGGCAACCCTAACTTTTTCGCGAAATTGAATTCAGCAGCATAAATTTTCTCAAATATTTCCCCGTATACCTTATAGAACCCCCTCCCGGAATCTGAATACCCGGAGTAAACCGAGTTTGAGAAGAAAGAGAATAAATCAGGGACAGGGCCCGAGGATTTGGATGAATTGTTAGAAGAAAAAAGGATTTCTGAACGATGGGAGTCGTACCACACGCGCTCTCTCGGGTCGGAGAGGACCTCGTACGCGTTGACGAGCTCTTGGAAGGCAGCTGTGGCTTCGACTTCAGGGACGCCGGACTGGACTAGCTTATCCGGATGGCGCTGGAGAGCCAGCTTCTTGTAAGCCGACCGAATTTCGTCGGGTGTGCAGTCACGGCTCAAGCCGAGCACCTCGTACAGGCATCGTTTTTCCGACGATGCCATTGTTGAATTTTCCAGGTAGTTTTGATTATTTGATTTCTAAATTAGGTTTGAAAGGGAAAGGAGAGGAATTATAAGGGTTTATAACTTTTGGAAGTTAATTGTCCCACTAATTAATGAATTCAGACAGACATTTTCCTTATTTTTAATCACAATTTATTCTTCAACCTATTATTTTAAAATATATTATTTAAAAATAATGCGACACAAACAAACCCTATATGTTCTTATTTTAAAATTAAAAAATAAAACATATTTTCATTCACGTCAGACTTCAATATTATCTTTATTAAATTCATTTATTAAACACCATAAATCGATACAAATTTTATATATTCATCACACTCTAAATCCATGCATAATACAATTAAAAAAAAAAACTATATTCAACCCTATTTCTCATTAACATTCCGTAACAAGGATAATTGGTTGAACATTAGAAAACATTACATAGAGTAGTTCGTATCTTCCTTTTTTTATGAACTGGTAATGATGAGTAATGAAGGACTAAAGAAAATTTTCTACTCAGATACATCTTTTATAGCAACGAAGCAACGAGTTCTCCGATATGGTTCGTCAGTTATAGATTTGGATAAGTATTTTTTTAGCATTGTTATTACATAGAAAATACCAAATTTACCAACTGAGCAGATAATTTTAATTATCAGGTGCACGTTTAGTCCAAGAGATCGAATAGAACACACAATTTTAAATAAAAAATAATAAGTTATATTTTTTCCAAAGCATTCTCTAATCCCTTGAAATTAGTTTTCAATCCTTTCGAGTTCTACTTACCAAAGCCTGTAATGGTATATGCTGAAAATTTGTGTTAGCAGAAATATCTTTACCAAAATGCCAAGACATCATTAATCAAATTATGTTCAGAGATTTTTTTATAAATAATAAAAACTTAAAATTGGCAAGGAAAGCAAGTTTCGAGAGTCAGCGTGTTGAACTAAGCTTGAAAAGTTGCTTAAAAATAAATAAGTTTCAAAATTTATGACGTGAAAGTGTTTTTAAATAATTATTAAAAAATGCAGAAAAATGGAAACTAGAAAAATTGGGGAAACGGTTCCTAATTTTTCAATTTTTACAGACTTTATCCTAAAATTTATTTTGTGTCAATGAATATCTCTAACCATTCATAGATGTGCAGTTGTAGTCCATTTGGACAGAATCGTCAACTTTTTCGTTAGTTGACAAAAAAAATAAATAAATAAAATTTGAACGACCAAGTTAAGAAAGGCAAAATGGTACTTTGGATTTTTCTCATATTAAATAAATTATTTAATTAAATTAAAAAATACTAAAAATTAAATATAAATAATATATAAACCCCTTCCCCCAACACCTCCTTATGCCCACGTCACCCACCAATCAAAACCTCTATTCTGCTGCTTCATTTTTCTCCTCTGGCGAGATACTCCCAGCCAATCACCCACGCCCCACCACCTTCAACCACGTCGTCACTCGTGTCATCACCTCATTACCAGTGCAGGCACCCTCTGTTGGACGTAGTGGGTCAATTGGATCAACTTTGACCACAATTTTAAGTGGGACCCGATGTTCGATATATCGAAATTAATGCTCAATTAAATTCTACGTTCCGAGCAGATGAGTGTAGAATATTTAATCGTGAAAAACCACTTCAATATGAATGAGAAATTATGGTTGAAAGTTGAACAATAAATAAGAGGAATAAATGGGAAAGAATTGGAAAAATGTTCCAATCCCACATAGGTTGTAAACACAACCTTGAACCATTTAATAAACTTCAAGTTTGGATATGGGTTTGGGCCCCAAGGGATACCAATAATCTTTGAAAGTAGAGAGTCTTAGACAATGTCTAGACTAATCCAAAGGCTATGCGCGCCGCCATCCGTTCGACCTACCGGGCGGGTCGGGGTGTGGGCCTGTGTTAATATTAATTTAATTTTTATTATTATTTTTTTTTTAAATTCAATTAATTCCCTCCATTTGATAGTTTATTAACTTACCCATCAGTTTGCTAAAACTGTGCGTTAAGTGGGCGTGAGTGATGGATGGAAACTGCTCAACCGTCAACTCTCTCCTCTATTTGAATGGTTCTCAGGCTTTCAATTTTAAAATATACACAGAAACATCACGAAATCATTCTGTATACATACTCTTCTTTTCTGCAATAGTCTATAGAGAGTACTTCCGTTCTGGTTCGTTTTCTTGCAGTCGAAGTGCTGCTTCTGCAAGTATTTGATCGTTGTATTTTGGGAGACGCTTTACCACATACCGTAAGCACCGTGTGACGGGGTAAAAACGTCTTAAGGAAAGAGAGCCTAGTTCTCGCCTCGATCATCCTCATTCCGAATTCTGGACTTCTTTATGCTTCTGTTTTTATTCTGTGCAATTCATTTTCTGGAAATAATATCCTGTTTTTACTGTTTTGCAATTGTTCATCTGTTTTAGCAAGTCATTTATGGAAAATCTGTTTTGTACAACAAAACGAGAACAAACAATCTTAAGACGTTTTTTAATAAATTATTTTCCAAAATTGTACTTGCTTATTTCTAACTTTTGCAGACTCTTATGCGAAATTACTATTCTGTAGAATTTTAATTTGTAAATTCTGACTGGTTGATCTTCTGTTTTAAAAACAGAAATGACTAACACTGTTGGGATCAATGCAATTCCCCCTATTGTAGCTGTGACGCCAACTATGGTTACTGTAACGCCGACAATGTCCGGTCCTTCTGGTTCAAATCATGTTCCTCGAGAAGAGAAACCTGAAAAATTTAATGGGGTCGATTTTAAGAGATGGCAGCAGAAAATGTTGTTCTATCTCAACACTTTGAACCTGGCAAAGTTTCTCACGGAGGATCCTCCTACTGTTCAACAAGGAGAAAATAATCGAGCTTCGATTATTGCCTTGGACGCATGGAAACATTCCGATTTCTTATGCAAAAATGATGTACTGAATGGACTGAATGATTCGCTATATGATGTATTTTGCATAATCAAAACTGCCAAAGAACTATAAGAATCTTTAGAGAAAAAAATATAAAATTGAAGATCCTGGATCTAAAAAATTTCTTGTCGAAAAATTTTTAGAATACAAAATGATTGACTCTAAATCTGTTATTTCCCAAGTTCAAGATTTGCAGGTACTCCTCCATGATTTACATGCTGAAAAAATGACTGTAAGTGAGTCATTCCAAGTAGCAACGGTAATTGAAAAACTCCCGCCTTCATGGAGAGATTTCAAAAATTACCTCAAACACAAACGTAAGAAAATGAACATGGCGGAGTTGATTATGCGTTTGAGGATCGAAGAAGCTACTAAGAAATCTGAAAGGAGGAACGGGGGACCAAGCATGGAAGCTAAGGCAAACATGGTTGAATCAAGTTCAAAGAAGAACATGAAAAGGAAGCACTCAAACTTTGCTCCGAAGAAAAAAGAAAACAACCAGAAGAACAAGAAGTTCAAAGGGGACTGCTTCGACTGTGGCAAACCTGGACATCGTGCAATTGACTGTTGCAAGCCTAAAAAGCAAAATGACCGTGCACATGTTGTTGAAACTGAAAATCTGTCTAAAGGGGTTCAAGAAATGCACCTATCTGCTGTAATATCTGAATGTAATAGTGTTGGGAATCCTAGGGAATGGTGGGTGGACACTGGTGCCACTCGCCACATTTGTGCTGAAAAGAATGTGTTTTCTGATTACAAAACTATCAATGGAGAACAACTGTTCATGAGAAACTCCTCAAGTTCAAAGGTTGAAAGACAAGGAAAGGTGACCTTGAAGATGACATCTGGCAAGGAACTCGTCCTCAACAATGTGCTGCATGTGCCGGACATCCAGAAAAATCTTATTTCTGGTTCTCTTCTTAGCAAGAATGGGTTTAAGTTAGTATTTGTATCTGACAAATTTGTACTAACTAAAAATAGGATGTACGTTGGAAAAGGTTACATGACCGATGGGATGTTCAAGATGAACGTCCTTACTGTTGTACCTAAATTGAACAAGATTAATGAAGCTTCTACTTCTGCGTATATTGTTGATTCTTCTTATTTATGACATAAAAGATTAGAATATGCAAACTTTAAATCTGTGCGCAAATTAATGAAATTAAATTTGCTACCTTTTCTAAGTTTCGATCATAATCACAAATGTGAAACTTGTGTTGAGGCTAAGTTAGCCAAAAGACCATTTCCTTCAGTTGATAGAAATACTTTACCTTTAGAATTAATTCACAGCGATATATGTGATTTGAAATTCGTACAAACTAAAGGTGGGAAAAAGTATTTCATCACTTTCATTGACGATTGCACTCGGTACTGTTATGTTTATCTATTAAAAAGCAAAGATGAGGCTTTGGAAATGTTTAAACATTATAAGAATGAAGTTGAAAATCAACTTAGTAAAACAATAAAAATTGTTCGAAGTGATAGAGGTGGAGAATATGGAGCGCCGTTTGAAGAATTTTGTTCTCAACAAGGCATCATTCATCAAACAATGGCTCCTTACTTACCTCAATCTAATGATATTGCGGAACGAAAGAGTCGTACGCTTAAAGAAATGATGAATGCTATGTTGATTAGTTCTGGCCTACCACATAATTTGTAGGGGAAGGCTAACCTTTCGGCAAATCACATTCTTAACAAAATACCACACAAAGTAAAGGATGAAACACCTTACGAATTATGGAAATGTCATAAACCTTCATCTAAATACTTGAAAGTGTGGGAGTGTTTGGCAAAGGTAGAAGTGCCAAAACCTAAACAAACAAAAATAGGACCAAAAATTGTAGATTGCATATTTATTGGATATGTTCATAACAGTAGTGCATATCGCTTTCTTGTGCATAAATTCGAGATTACGGATATACATGAAGATACAATAATTAAATCAAGGAATGCAAGCTTCTTCGAAGATGTCTTTCCTCATAAAGACAAAAGTGATGTAAGTTCAACAAAATGAACTTACGATACTGCAAATGATGATGAAAATGAAGAAGAACTCAGACGCAGTAAAAGGGATAGGAAGTCTACGTCCTTCGGTTCATAATTTATAACGTACATGATCGAAAATGAACCAAAGACATT